CTCGCAGAAAAAGAGCTCTCACAAGACCTACGATCAAGAATTGTTGACTTGCATGAAGCTGGAAAGGGTTACAAAAGTATCTCCAAAAACCTTGATGTTCATGTGTCCACGGTAAGACAGACTGTCTACAAATGGAGAAAGTTTAGCACTGTTGCTACTCTCCCTAAGCGTGGTCGTCCTGTAAAAATGACTGCAAGAGTACAGCGCAGAATGCTGCATGAGGTAAAGAAGAATCCCAGAGTGTCAGCTAAAGACCTACAGAAATCTCTGGCACATGCTAACATTTTTGTTGACACATCTACAACAAGGAAAACATTAAACAAGAATGGAGTACATGGGAGGACACCACGGAGGAAGCCATTGCTGTCCAAAAAGAATATTGCAGCACGTTTGAAGTTTGCAAGAGAGCACCTGGATGTTCCACAGCACTACTGGCAAAATATACTGTGGACAGATGAAACCAAGATTGAGTTGTTTGGGAAGAACACACAACACTATGTGTGGAGAAAAAAAGGCACAGCACACCAACATCAAAACCTCATCCCCACTGTAAAACATGGCTGAGGGAGCATCATGGTTTGGGGCTGCTTTGCTGCCTCAGGGCCTGAACGGATTGTTGTCATTGATGGGAAAATTAATTCCAGAGTTTATCAAGACATTTTGCAGGAAAACGTACGACCATCTGTCCGCCAACTGAAGCTCCGCAGAGGATGGGTGATGCAACAGGACAATGAACCAAAGCATACAAGTAATTCAACAAAAAAATGGCTGCAACAGCACAGAATACGCCTTCTGGAGTGGCCCAGTCAGAGTCCTGACCTCAACCCGATTGAAATGCTGTGGCATGACCTTAAGAGAGCGATTCACACCAGACATTCCAATAATATTGCTACACTGAAACAGTTTTGTGAAGAGGAGTGGTCCAAAATTACTCCAGATCATTGTGCAGGTCTGATCTGCAACTACAGGAAACGTTTGGTTGAGGTTATTGCTGCCAAAGGAGGGTCAACCAGTTATTAAGTCCAAAGGTTCACATACTTTTTCCTCCCTGCACTGTGAATGTTTCCATGTTATGTGCAATTAAACCATGGCAACATCTAATGTTTGTGTAGTATTATGTTTAGCAGACTGTGTTCTTCTATTGTTGTGACTTAGATGACGTTCAGAGCACATTTTATGCCCAATTCATGCAAAACTCCACGTAATGCCAAGGGGTTCACATACTTTTTCTTGCAACTGTATATACAATTTATCGTACATTTTACCTTTTCAGAGAACACAATGATAGCACTTGTAAAATCTTGGAAAGCAAAGTAGTTGTTAAATTAAAAAAAACACCGCTGATACCAATGTATGGCAGTGTGTAGAGAGAATAATGAAGATGCATTGACAATCTTGTTTTGTAAGAGATGGAAACTGGTCAGGTGCACCTTGTTTACGAGGATGACAGTGATGGCTGCTGATGGGGGCCCAGGCTTTTTCTTTGTATAATGAACTATTGCTTGCCATATGTGTATCTCGTTCTCTGTGCTCAGACTTACTAGTAGCTAAGATGTGACCAGGTAAGACAAAAGCTCATTCTATGTATGCATAGCAGAAGATTGCCTGATTTTTTTCTTACATGCTGAAAGATTGCCTGAATTTAATTACTAAGCTTTGTTTATTTTACTTTCAATGATGCAATTTAATTGTAAGAAATGAATAATCAGTGTCTTCTATCTGGATGTGTTCCCTTCTTCTCAATTCTTTTTGGCCACTTTGTTTTACCCAGTGGCAGGCTGGCAGTGATTTATGAATCAGTCCTTTTCTTTTACGGTGCAGACTGCTATTTGAGGGAGCCTATGGAACATCTTTCAGAAAATCCATTGATGGGATTGTCTTTGAATCTCTTTTACAATCTCTCTATCTCAAGACAAAAACAGAAAGAAAGGTCATCATTTACATCCTTCAGGATGACTGGGGGTTCTTTCCAAAGAGAAAGGATTATGGAAGGCATTGATTTCTGACCACTTATGTGAGTTGTACTTTATACCTTGGCTTGCTCCAGATGCTTGCTTGTGACACCAGATGTGTACAGTGTACAGAACAACTTGGTATGTGGCAAATCAAGAGTGTATATGCTGGGATTCAGTAAACTGGTCATGTAAAAGAAATTTTCAATTAAAATAAAAACCTGGAAAACTCTTGTGAGCTTTCTTACGTAATACTTTACCACTTTAATCGGTCCTTTGTTTAACCACTTTCCCGCTGCCCTATAGCAGAAATACTGCTACAGGGCGGCAGGGCTGCGCAAAATCATGTATACATTTGTGTTCAAAATAATAGCAATCAGACATCACTAACCTGATCAATCACTGTTTTTGGTAGAAATCATATTTCTACATGGCAAATAATTTACTAGCAGGTGTAGTAGAGTAATAGAAATCCAACAGACCCAACAGTCATGACATGCATGCTGCTGGCTGATTCTGTGTAATTGAATCACTAATTGAAAGGGGCATGTTCAAAATAATAGCAGTGTGGAGTACTATTAGTGAGGTCATTCATTCTTTAAAAAACAGTTTGCAATTATTGCCCTTATTTAACCTCCTTGGCGGTATGATTCTTTCCGATTTTTGGTGCTGAAAGCGGTACCATTTTTTTGCATGGAAATATGTAGTTTTTTTATTGTAGGCCTGTAATTCTTAGGAATAACTCACTGAAATCTGTCCGAACAAGAGTCTAGTAAACATCCCGGGTAGGATAAAATTTGAAACACGAAATCATAAATTATAATATAATAAATAATCATAAAAAAATAATAATATAATAATAATACATTTAATTCAATAATATAATCAAACCAAAAAACACTGAAATGTGAAATATAGCGCCAAGTTAGCACATTGCTGAGCAAAGTCGCAAAATCGTTTTCAGTGTCTGATGACGAATTTCCCCACAAATCATTATCACTCAATTCTGCAAGTGGTTCTGATTTACTATCGCTGTTCTCCTAGCTGATCTAAACCGCTTTTGACCTAAAGGGACACTTTTTGGGTGCCATGGACATTTCTCAGTTTCCAGCGGAAAGAACAGACAAAATGCAGGCAGGGCGCAGGACAAAGCATTAGGGACAAGATGTATGTGAAATCGGTTGAGACAGCAATGTTTTACTATGTAAAATGTAAAAAAAAAAAGACACTTTTTAAAATTTTAAAATTTCCCGCCGCCAGCGGCGCCCATATGTCCCGACGCCACAGGGACAGGACACAGAAGCCGGATGCTGGCATCGGCCGGGGGAGATGGCCGGGGATGCTGCAGGGGACACATCGCGGGAGCGCAGGGTAAGGTAGGTGAAGAACAAATGCCCGGAGCAGTGCCGCATGGTATTCCCGAGTGTAGCTCGGGGTTACTGTTTGTGGTACTGAAATGTTACCCCGAGCTACACTCGGGAATACCGCCAAGGAGGTTAAGGAAGGAAGGCAGCAAATGTTGTACATGCTGGTTACAGTGCATTTCTCTATGAAATTCTGAGGAAAATGGGTCGTTCCAGACATTGTTCAGAAGAACAGCATACCTTGATTAAAAAGTTGATTGGAGAGGGGAAAACATATAAAGAAGTGCAGAAAATGATAGGCTGCTCAGCTAAAATGATCACAAATGCTTTAAAATGACAACCAAAACCTGAAAGATGTGGAAGAAAGCGAAAAACTACCATTCAAATGGATAGAAGAATAGCCAAAATGGCAAGGACTCGGCCAACAATCAGCTCCAGGAAGATCAAAGAAGGTCTAAAGTTCCCTGTGAGTACTGTTACAATTAGAAGACGCCTATGTGAAGCCAAGCTATCTGCAAGAAGCCCCCGCAAAGTCCCACTGTTGAAAAAAAGACATGTGCTGAAGAGGTTACAATTTGCCAAAGAGCACATTGACTGGCCTAAAGAGAAATGGCGCAACATTTTGTGGACTGATGAAAGTAAGATTGTTCTTTTTGGGTCTAGTGGCCGGAGACAGTTTGTCAGATGACCCCCAAACACTGAATTCAAGCCACAGTACACTGTGAAGACAGTGAAGCATGGTTGCGCAAGCATCATGATATGGGGATGTTTCTCATACTATGGTGTTGGGCCTATTTATCGCATACCAGGGATCATGGATCAGTTTGAATACATCAGAATACTTGAAGAGGTCATGCTGCCTTATACTGAAGAGGAAATGCCCTTGAAATGGGTGTTCTAACAAGACAATGACCCCAAACACACCAGTAAACGTGCAACACCTTGGTTCCAGACCAACAAGATTGACGTTATGGAGTGGCCAGCCCAATCCCCGGATCTTAATACAATAGAAAACTTGTGGGGTGACATAAAAAATGCAGTTTCTGAGGCAAAACCAAGAAATAGAGAAGAACTGTGGAATGTAGTCCAATCATCCTGGGCTGGAATACCTGTTCACAGGTGCCAGAAGTTGGTTGACTCCATGCAACACTGATGTACAGCAGTTCTCAGAAACAGTGCTTATACAACTAAATATTCATTAAGTGATTCAAAGGAAAGCAAAATCTTCAAACATTTTTCAGTTTATATAGTGAATGTTTGAGTTTGTAAAGAAGAATACAAACACTGCTATTTTTTTGAACAGTCTAATATTCACTTTTCTTCAATTTTTTTTAGAGGAACAACACAAATTTGATATATTTTTCTTCATGTTTTGATTTGGAATAGAATGTGTAGTGTTCCCAATGCATTTGTGTGTATGGAAATAAAAGCTATTAGAAGGATTATGAGCTTTATTCACTTTTTTCAACACACTGCTATTATTTTGAACACAACTGTATATGTGATTTGCATTTCCGGGTAGGGGGCGCACGCACGTGCTGCCCTACCTGCACCGTTATTGGCGGCTAGGGATGTCAATCACCAGGTCCCGGCTGGCAATTCCCAGCCAGCACTCAGCGATCATTGGGTAAAGCTGTCAGGGGAGAGACCTGTGTGTGAACAACACAGGTTTCTCTTCTGTCAGCATGGACATGCTGCTTTGTATCTCTCTGCACAGCAGAGAGATACAAAATAGCATGCTCCCTAGTAAAACACAACAACACAGCACACCACACAGTAAAACACAAACAGCACAAAGTTAACCCTTTGATCGCCCCAGATGTTAACCCCTTCCTGCCCAGTGTCATTAGTATAGTGCCAGTGCTTTTTATTAGCACTGATCACTGTATTAGTGTCACTGGGGATGTCAGTGGCAGTTAGTCAGTTCCCACCCAGTGTCAGAATGCCTGCCACAGTCCCCAAGTCCCGTTATAAGTTGCTGATCGCTGCCATTACTAGTATAAAAAAAATAAAAATAAAAATTCCAGTATACAGTATATATACTGCCATTTGTAGATGGTATAAACATTCATGTAAACCAATTCATTTATACGTATTGGGATTTTTTTTAGTAAAGACATGTAGAATACATTTTGGCCTAAATTTATGAAGAAATTTTATTTTTAAATTTTTTTTATTTTTTATGTTGTATAGCAAAAGTCAAAAATATAGTTTTTTTTTTCAAATTTGCTGGTGTTTTTGTGTTTATAGCGCAAACAATAAAAAACAGAGGTAATCAAATACCACCAAAAGAAAGCTCTATTTGTGGGTAAAATATAACATAAATATCATTTGTGTACAGCATTGCAAGACCGCACGATTGTCAGTTAAAGTAACACATATCGCAAAAAATGGCATGGTCAGGAAGGGGGGTACATCCTCTGTAGGGCAAGTGGTTAAATATGTCTACAATTGTCTATGTATACGATTAAGCTTAGAGCAGCCTTTTTCAATGAGGGTGTCCTGGCACCCTGTGGTGCCTCCAGGCTTCTTCAGGGGTGCCTTGGCAATATGCCTTAAAAAACTGCCCAAAAACTGGATCAAGCCTGCCTTTTAGTACTCAAAGCCACAGGCTTTCATTGTGCACTCTTATGACCTTCTAGATCCTGGCATCCTAACATCCAAAAATGTCATCAGTTGATAAAGAAGATGCTGGGTGCCTGCACAGCATCCTTTTTTGCCCCTCCCTGCCCCTCTCTGTCAGTAAAGAGGTCACATAAGCTGAGTGAGGAAGACAAATTGAGGGAGAAATATTGGGAGGGAGAAATATTGGAATTCTACTCAGTACCAGTGTGGAAAAGTATATTTACTTTGGAAGAATAAATCGCCTCTAACGTTGGGTGTACTACGTGAGTGGATGTTTCTGCATTATGTAAAACTAGTAGAATAGTTTTTTATAGTTTAGAGTGGGGTGCCTCAAGATTGTGCAGAATTTTAAAGGATGCCTTGACTGGAAAAGGGTTAAGAAACACTGGCTTAGAGTACAATGGTATCTTAGTCAACATGAAACTGCAAGAAAGTTGATTTCTGAGATTACCACTTATGCCTCAAAAGAATTGTGAAGAGCTTCAGTTTGATGATGTGCAGAGGTTTTGTTATAAATAAGAAAACACCTATAATACAACTATCAAATTTTGTCTGGGTCATCAGGACCCCCCCCAAATTTAAAAACTATATGCCAGCTTTAGTCCTTTAGGCTCTGACACCTGCCCCAGGCTAGGGCAAGACCCAGCTGGGGAGACACTGTAAATATATTCCCTTTAGACAAAAGCCCAGGAGGTATAAACAATCTGGAAATGTGCTGCAAATATTTATCATCTTCCCAAACCATACCTAAGTCCTTCTCTTTCTGATTATTCAAACCTACCTCACAGTAACAGACAGAAGCAATGAACTTAGGGAAGACCTGCAGAATCAATGAAATAGTAAACTAATGTTTGGGCTGGACACAGTCTAGCAACCAACACAATAAATGTAACTAGAGATACAGCAGCATAGTGGAGAGTCCCTACATCACAAAGATGATGTTGGTGCCCAGTAGTAATAACAACATGGTTTGGGTAATATGTTTTACTGCCTCTGACGTATGTCTGTTGGCTTTCACGGACCTCTGGAAGATCTGTCCTCCATTTGCTTTGATGGAGGGCAGCAGGTGGGTCATGGGTCTAATAAACACCTGATGGAACCCATCTGTCAGGGATCACCGCCACGATGGGCTCGGCGCAGGCTTATTGCACCGCCCTGTGTCGGAATGCGGGCACTGAGACCTGGCCAACCGCAGCGAGTGAGTTCGCGCATGCGCAGTAGGGACCGCGCGCGCCGCGTGGCACCAATGACAGCGCAGGGCGGGATATTTAAATGGCCCTGAGCTGTCATTCAGTGCCTTCTGGTCTTACCTGCATCCTGTATCCTGCGAACCTGTACCTAGTAAGTTGTTCACCCGGATTGTTCTTGACCTGCTGATTTCTCCTGCCCAGATCCTTGCTTTGCCTGACCTCTCTTCTGAATGCCCCCCATTAGATCTGACCTGCTGTTGCTGACCTGGCGTGTGACCCGACTATTCTCTGCCCGCTGTCTTGTACCGTACCTTCCTCTCTATTACCGACTCGGCCTGTCTGACTTTGCACTTGCTCAGCCATCCATCCATCCCATCGGGGTCACCCAACCTCCTCATATCAGACTCTCCCCTGTCGGAGCCCCTGGCGAACACCCCTACCACTGACGGGTGTACTCAGTAGTCGCGACCTGGTCTCGGGGTACTCCAAGTCCATCCCCACCATCAGGAGCCCTGGTGAACAAGTACTCTGGGGCTTAGATTCCTTGCTCTGGGAACACCTGACCAGTGGAGTGCTAGTGGTGCCGCTAGGCGGTCCGTTACACCATCACAACAACACTATATCACATAGGGGACTTTTTGGGTTTTCATGCTGAAATTGAAAAAAAAAGCCGCTGCCTGCTGAGCCATCCACATCAGCCAAGCACTCGCCACAATCTGACAGGCCTGACACTTGCCACCTAGATATAAACAACTAGGTGAAACTAGCGGTGACTTCGCAGCTAGCTCTGCCCAATTATACTGTGATTGGCCCAATTATGCTGTGATTGGCCAAAGCATTGCGCCTGACCTATGGAGAGCGCAGTGTATTGTGGGCCATGGCAGGCGGCTGAATGCCCTTACCATTCGCGTATTCACCGAACAAACAAACGGACGATGTTCGAGTCGAACTTGCGTTCAACTCGAACATCAAGGCCATCACTAATTGTTAGGGTTTACATATACTGTACTTTAAGTTGTAAATTCTTTCCAGCTGTACTGGGGTGAAAATGCCTATAACAAAAACAGAATAAATGGTTTTGGTTTAATGGGATAAAGTCACCCTGAGTTCATTTTGTTCATAGCTTCTGCATACAGATATCAATCTTTGCATTAATACAGTGTAGCAAAGACTGAAAGACGGTAAAGTGATTCAGTTCATAAAGGCAATTTACAATGACACAATGTGCATGATGCATTGTAAATATGATCATATTCAAGCTATTAAATGTAGAATATTATTTCTATAACTGACCTGTAAACCAGCTGCAAGCCCTAGAGTTTATCTGTAAATCACAAAACACACATTTGTTTTCATTCGATTATTTATCAAATCACAACAGGAGGTTTTATGGGTTCCCTCTGCAGTAACACTGCCTCTCTTCATCACCAATTTTACATCACTTTCTGTACACTTTTGATCGGTGATAAACACACATGCTCATTGGCTTCCAGTTTATTGTCGCGCTGCTTACTGTCTTAACCAAAATTTAGGAAGATTGATTGAACAAAATGTTTCAGGATCGGTATCTCTATGGTCATTTCGAGTAAAGTCCTAACATCTTTATTTAACTGCTAGCTAAAAAGACTGGAATTGTGCAGAGAAATAATTATAGGAAAGTTCTGGCAGAAGAGCAATGTGCTTGTTTAACCAGTGTGGCTCTCGCACCTGTATACCCTTTAAGGACTAGACTCGTTTTTACATTTCTGCTATGGTCCTATTGATTCAACTATACCTTTGTCAATACTTGAGATAAAAAAGGCAATACATAATTTTTTTTAGGACAAACAAGGCTTTGCATTTTTTTTGGTGCCACTGCAAAGATTATTTTATATTCTATTTAATCTATAGACAAGAGGACATAGCAAAACCAAAGAATTGCAATTTACTTTGTTTAATCAGTGTTAGTTTAAAAAAAAAAAAAGTCCCTTTTTTTTTTTTTTTAATCAATTTTGCCTATTACTTTTTAATGCAACACGAATGAAATTAAAAAGCAAGGTTAAGGTAAATAGAAAGAAATTAAATAATAACAATGAAAATTAGAACCCCCCCCCCCCAACAAAAATAGGTGAGAAAGTCATGAATGGGTTAATTAGGGCTGATTGTGGATAATTAAGGGAAATACGTTATTAAAAAGGAAACTTTTTTTATTTAAAACAGTATTTTTTATTTACTTCTAAAGGTGCTTTAAATGACATACAGGTTAAGGCCTCATTCACACCATACGCACATGAAAACTGATGGAAACTGACGTGCAGATTTCACTTGCAGAGACATCGGTTTACATCAGTTTTCTTGCACGCTCCAATGAGTTTTATGCACATTGCAGATTCCTGCACAGAAAAAGTCTATAGGTGATACTAGTGTTGTGGTGTGAACAAGGCACATAGAGAACAATTGATTTTGTTGTGCCCTTGCAGAATGCATGCACTAAAACTGATGTTTTTGCACCATGGTGTGAATGATCCTTAAGGGTTGTGGCTATGATCAGTTCATGAGGAAAACAGTATAAGTACAATGTACCAATAATATTGTTACATTGTATTTCTCATTGATGCTTCCGAACATTGTTTGAACACTGTTTCAAAGCTTAGATTTACACAGCAGCCACTGCTACTCCTTAAAGTGATACTAAACCCAGGACCCTGCATTCACTATATCTGGTCTCCCACAGTACCCAGAACATGGAAATGCAATTCGTTTAGTAAAAATAAACTGTAAATACTTTTTCTCATCAGCAGTTAGAGCAGTCTTGTGACTTCTATCAGTGTTCAGCAGAGCACATGTTAAAGCTTGTAGGAGGGGTTTTCATTCTCCATTGATTGTCCTATGAGGCTGCATAACCCATGACCCTCTGTCTGGACAGCACTAATTGGCCCTGTGCTGATCACATGTACTCTCCCAAGAAAAAAAAAAACTCTCTAGCAATACACACCAAACTAAGCATGTGCAGATTGCCCCCTAAGGCTCTGTTCTATGAGTGGATGGATTGGGGACAGTAGAAGAAGGGGAGGATCATAGAATACAGGATCAAATATCCATTTTACACAATGCAGAGGATTAACCCCTTAGTTTCCACAGTGAGTATAACAAGTATTATATACTGCATATACAGGCTGATTTTACTGTTGTGGGTTTAGTAACACTTTAAGCTTGGTACACACAATGACAATATCAGCGGAGTGTTCATCTGTTTTTTTTGCATGCTAATCTCATATTAAACCTGCAAGACAATGGCATAATGTGCTAGTATGCATTGCAAATCAGCAACACTGAGGTGAAATTAAGGATGAATAAGTGACAAAAACAATATATCATTTTAAAATAATGGCACATTGTTATGATACAAATTGCTTTATACAGGCCATAGACGGTTTATCGGACGATTTTTTGTCCGAAAGAATAATCGGCTGATTTTCGCACTGTTAGTGGGGCAATGGCATTGGCTGATTTTCGCTGTTCCTCCTCATTTCGTTTATCGGTCATGCTGGAAAATTTGTGAAAAACGGCCAATTTTTGCAATTATTGGTGGCAACATCGGTTAACCTCCCTGGCGGTATTCCCGAGTGTAGCTCGGGGTAAAGTTTCAGTACCACAAGCGGTAACCCCGAGCTACACTCGGGCTTACCATGCGGCGCTGCTCCGCGATCCCTCGATCAGATCACTTACCTTGTCCTGCACTCATGTGATGTCCCCCCTGCAGTGTCCCCGGCAATGTAATTCGGCGGATGCCGGCATCTGTCATCTGGGTTCCGTCCTCTGCGAGCGTCGGGAGGTATGGGGGACGGAACGGCGGGAAATTTGAAAATGACAAAAAGTGGCATTCACTAAAATCACATAGTAAAACATTACTGTATCAAAGCATTTCACATACATTTTGTCCCGAGTGCTTTGTCCTGTGCCCTGCCTGCATTTTTACTGTTCTTTCTGCCTGGAAACTGAGAAACGTCCATGGCGTCCAAAAAGCGTCCCTTTACGTCAAAAGCGGTTTTAGACCAGCTAGAGAACAGCGATAGTAAATTAGAACCACTTACAGAATTGAGCAATAATGATTCGTGGGGAAATTCGTCATCAGACACTGAAAACGATTTTGCGACTTTGCTCAGTGATGTGCGAACTTGGCGCTATATTTCAAATTTCAGTGTTTTTGGTTTGATTATATTATTGAATTAAATTTATTATTATATTATTATTTTTTTTATAATTATTTATTAAATTATAATGTATGATTTCGTGTTTCAAGTTTTATCATATCCGGAATGTTTACTAGACTCTTGTTCGGACAGATTTCAGTGAGTTATTCCTAAGAATTACAGGCCTACAATATAAAATTTCCATGCAAAATAATGGTACCGCTTTCAGCACCAAAAATCTGAAATAATCATACTGCCAGGGAGGTTAACAGAACGAACGATGTTTAGTTTTTTGGACAAAAAATGGCCGATAAACGAACTGTCTATGGCCTGCATTATTATTATTATTATTATACAGTATTTATATAGCGGCGAAAGGTTTGCTCAGTGCTGTACATTATAGTGGGGAACAGAACATGAGACAATACAGTAACAAAACAATCCACGAGGGGTTGGAGGGCCCTGCCCTTTCAAGCTTACAATCTAGGAGCAGCAAATGTAATTTAGCTAGAGAAGTGCTGGTCAAGTTACCTAATATATGGGACCTTAAGTGTGGCTACTGACATCAATAAGGGAACGCACATAATTTTCAGTGAAAATGATGCTACATAAAGCTTTCAAAGATTGCATACATGCAGCAGGAGATAGAGACTTTGGACATGCTGTAAGAGATGGTCAGAAACTGTTCGCAAGCAAACATGATATAGGAGTTGTTAAAGACTGGAGGCATGCTTCAGAAGACAGTCATAGACTGGACACAATAGATGACACTGCTAGAGATCACAAACCTTTTACAAATTAATGCTTCTACATTTGTACAATTTACAGCTTCCTAGTGTATACATATAGATGTTCCCCTCAACCCCCCCACTGCTGTACGCCTTTGTCCCTGGGCTCGGGACTGGTCGGTAAGTGGTCAGCAATGCTGCCCACAGAGAAGTAGGAGAAACATCCCTTCCCCCATCTTCTCTGACATGATCCCATTTCAGAGCTCTCATTCCCTAGTAATTACAGCTAGGGCTGTAACACAATCTGTATTTGATCAACGGCCTTGGAGGACAGGGGAGGCTTCAGGGGTCTAAAATAGTCATAAAGAGTACCTGCACTGCTCAAAGCTATCACAAAGGGGCTATTCATCTCTTCGTGATGGCAATAAAATAAAAAAAAGTAAAAAAAAAAGTAAATCATAAAAAATTAAAATATATAAAATTTAAAAGCACCCCTGTACCCCTATGCTCACATGCAAAAGCAAACACACACGTAGGTCTGGCACATATATGTAAACGATGATTGCACCACACATGTGAGGTATCACTATGAACATTAGAGTGAGAGCAATAATTCTAGCACCATAGCTCACGTTTAACTTTAAACTGACAAACTGAGAACAAGGCTTTTAAAGCATTGCCTATAAACACTTTTCATTACTGTAGTTTTTTTTTCCATTTCATAAGCATTTATTTATTACTCGATGCAACATCATTTTTTTTTTTATTTCAGAAAAAATGGGTATTATATTGTGTTTGTGTACAATAAATTCATTGTGTTTGATAAACAGCTGAGCAACTATTGTGTGACATAAAAAATTGCAACAGCCACCATGTTATTCTCGAGGGCCTCTGCTTTCAGAAAATATAAAATGTATGGGGGTTCTATGTACTTTTCTAGCAAAAAAATGAAGTTTTAACATGTATGTGAAAATTTTTAACAAATGCCCTGGTAGGCGAATTGTTAAAAATTATTTGTGGAACATTTGATATTTTTCATAAATATCCATGAGATCAGAGAAAAAAAAAACATTGCAACAGCCACCATGTTATTCTCGAAGGCCTCTGCTTTCAGAAAATATAAAATGTATGGGGGTTCTATGTACTTTTCTAGCAAAAAAAATGAAGATTTTAATATGTATGTGAAAATTTTTAACAAATGCCCTGGTAGGCGAATGGTTAAATATTATTTGTGGAACATTTGATATTTTTCATAAATATCCATGAGATCAGAGAAAAAAAAACATTGCAACAGCCACCATGTTATTCTCGAGGGCCTCTGCTTTCAGAAAAATATAAAATGTATGGGGGTTCTATGTACTTTTCTAGCAAAAAAATAAAGATTTAACATGTATGTGAAAATTTTTTAACAAATGCCCTGGTAGGCCCGAGGCGAATGGTTACAAATTATTTGTGGAACATTTGATATTTTTCATAAATATCCATGAGATCAGAGAAAAAAAACAGGAACGAGAAAAGGGGTGGTCACCGGGAAGGAAGGAAGGAATTAGAAATAAGTAAATCAATTAACATGTTGTAGCCAAACTAAAAAAATATTTTCCTTCACTGGCCTCAATAAGCTTCTAGGTAAGAATGCTACTTGCAGAGGCCCCAAGGGTTGCACAAGAAATGCCAGCTTGGGCACCAGGGAGCTAGGGTTTACTTCTATGTGAATAAACAAAAATAATAATAAGATAAACAAAAAAACGGCAACAAATTCTAAAGCAAATATAGAACATTAATTGGAGCAACTTTCACTTATATAAATATTATATTGCTGTGTATCTAAGTATTCTCTTATTGTTATTGCCGTATCAGTATTATTATACCAATATAACCTTGCAACATCATTACTCTGAATATGCATCAAGCTTACATCGTGAAATGGCAAAAAAATAATTATGGAAGTATCAAGATGAGAGAAGAAGCATTACACAATGTGCAATGTACCATGTTAATATAAGTTGTAGGATTTTATGAGGAGCTCATTTTTTACATGTCATATAAAATACAATGCAGAAGTCAATTGATAGTTACTGCTATGGGTCACTTCTGTTTCCTGTATATTTTCTTTTACATTCCAGATGTTTAAAGCAATAATGTGTATTGCATGTATTGTTTATATATATACAGTATATAATAAAGTGCGTTGAAAAAGTATTCATACCCCTTGAAATTTTCAATATTTTTCATGTTACAACCAAAAACATAAATGTATTTTATTGGGATTTTATGTGATAGAGCAACACAAAGTGGCACATCATTGTGAAGTGGAAGGAAAATGAGAAATGGTTTTCAAACATTTTTACAAATAAATCTGTGAAAAGTGTGCCCTGCATTTGTATTCAGCCCCCCGGAGAGTCAATACTTTGTAGAACCACCTTTTGCTGCAATTACAGCTGCAAGTCTTTTTGGGGATGTCTCTACCATCTTTGCACATCTAGAGAGTGACATTTTTGCCCATTCTTCTTTGCAAAATAGCTCAAGCTCTGTCAGATTGGATGGAGAACGCCTGTGAACAACAATTGTCAAGTCTTGCCACAGATTCTCAATTGGATTTAGGTCTGGACTTTGACTGGGCCATTCTAACACATGAACATACTTTGATCCAAACCATTCCATTGTAGCTCTGGCTGTATGTTTAGGGTCGATGCCCCACTGGAAGGTGAACCTCCGCCCCAGTCTCAAGTCTTTCACAGACACTAACAGGTTTTCTTCTAATATTGCCCTGTATTTGGCTCCATCCATCTTTCCATCAACTCTGACCAGCTTCCCTGTCCCTGCTGAAGAAAAGCATCTCCACAACATAATGCTGCCACCATCATGTTTCATGGTGGGGATGGTGTGTTCAAGGTGATGTACAGTGTTAGTTTTCTGCCACATATAGTGTTTTGCTTTTTGGTCAAAACTTTCAATTTTGGTCTATTCTAAACAGAGCATCTTTTTCCACGTTTGGTGTGTCCCCCACATGGCTTCTCGCAAACTGCAAATGGGACTTCTTATGGCTTTCTTTTTGCCATTCTTCCATAAAGAACAGATTTGTTGAGTGCATGACTTTTATTATTATACAGGATTTATATAGTGCCAACGGTTTGCTCAGCGCTTTACAATACGACTAATAGTTGTCCTTTGGACAGATTCTCCCACCTGAGCTGTGGATCTCTGCAGCTCCTCCAGAGTTCCCATGGGCCACTTGGCTGCTTCTCTGATTAATGCTCTCCTTTCCTGGCCTGTCAATTTAAGTTCCTGGCCATGTCTTGGTAGGTTTGCATTTGGGCCATACTCTTTCCATTCTTGGATGATGGATTGAACAGTGCTTCATGAGATGTTCAAAGCTTGGGATTTTTTTTTATAACCTAACTTGTTTTAAACTTCTCCAGAACATTATCCTTGACCTGTCTGGTGTGTTTCTTGGTCTTCATGATGCTGTTTGTTCACTAATGTTCTCTAAGAAACCTTTACAGGGCTTTACAAAACAGCTGTATTTATACTGAGATTATTTACTAATTAGATGACTTCTGAAGGCAATTGGTACCTTAGTTAGGGGTATCAGAGTAAAGGGGGGCTGAAAACAAATGCATGGCACACTTTTCAGATATTTATTTGTAAAAAATTTTGAAAACCATTTATCATTTTCCTTCTACTTCACAATTATGTGCCACTTTGTGTTGGTCTATCACATAAAATCCAAATAAAATACATTTACGTTTTTGGTTGTAACACAACAATGTGGAAAATTTCAAGGAGTATGAATACTTTTTCAAGGTACTGTATATATAAAATATACAGTAGTTCTCATGCAATGAAGTGTTGTAAATGTTTAATGCATAGCAAGCATTTAGAAATAAGCTAAAATCTAATTGGTTGTCATGAGCATCTGAATACAACTGCTCTTTAAAAACATATGGAACTCCACCTCATCACCCTGGAAAATATAAAAAAAAAAAGTATATTTTCTCTAATGGTCAAGTCTCCT